ACCCCTAATTTAATATGGTGAACATACAGTCCACTACTCATTATTAACACTATATCAAATCTTGATTGATGTCACCAGATTACCGCAATTAGAGACCTAATGAATAGCCAACAATGATGACTTCTCTAATAATGGCATCCACACGCAATACACACTCAGGGGAAGGCAACACAATGCGACTTTAGCCTTTGTCTTCAAAAGATTTATCCATAACGCTAAAACGTAATTTATCAACTTCTGTAGAAGTATCAGGTGGAGGGAAAAGAATGGAAGAATAGGGGTTTCCATCTGTCAAAATGAATTCCCAGGAAAATTATGAATTCTATTATGGCTACCTTAGTTAATCACATAAACAATGTTGATAATAAGGGAGCAGTACAACAAGCTACCTGAGGAATGATGGATGACCTGTCGAGAGAATAACACTATAGGGTATCAACTTAGCTTACTTCATAGAAATTAACAACTACAAGGGATTAACATAGAATTTATTTACGTCAGTCACACAAAATTTAGGGGATTTTGTCAATTGAAACTCAAACATACCCATAAATCAAGATAATAGTTTTATTTAAGACTAACATTAACAATGATTGAAATAATTTTGGGGTTGCAAGTATTCTCTTATCGTTATCAAACACAGTAACATTTAGTTGTTGATGTTGTTCTTAGTGTTTAACCGAAGGTGATATCTCAGACAAGTTGTGTTATTTTCAGGGGTCTTTCCTCTGGGAGGAAACCGGAGTACCCCGAGTAAACCCATGAGGTTGAGAAGGCGCTCCTATCTCCATGCCACATACGCTCACAGAAGGGATCAAAACCACGAATGCAAGTCAGAGGTGACTTGTCAGCTAGTGATCGAAGCGCGACACTCTAGACCACTAGGCCCTTGGGTTTGCAAGATGTCGGCAGTTTGTTTTATTTATACTCCATCTCAGTGTTAAAGACGCTTTTTTTTCTTTTTTGTTTAATTCTAGATGGTATGGGTCTTATATTCTACGACAGGCAATATTTTCCCTAAAAGCAGGGTTGAAGTTTTTTGTTTGCCTTGGAGGGTTCACATAGATAGTCATTTTTGATGGAAGTCCTGTTTTCATTAACCCATTGGGTGAAAAAAAAAAGTGAGAAATTTAATTTCTCTATCTTGACCACCCTACTTCATTTCATTTCAAATCTCACCTACACATACTGACTAAAAGTTGTAAATACTGAAGAAAGAAAGAGAGAGAGAGAGAGAGGAGAGAGAGAGAGAGAGAGAGGGAGGGTTACCTCCACTACACAAACCCGGTCATTTTATTTCAATAATTCGCTTGTGCAGTTAAGAGGGAGAGTGAGATGGTTTTAGATCCACTTGACAATGAAGAGGTCATTTCGGGACTAACATATGGTTTAATTTTATTTCTATTATTTGCATGCACATAGGGATCCGTGGAAGGAAACTAGAAGAACTTGAGAAAATCCAAAGAGAGAGAGAGAGAGAGAGAGAGAGAGAGAGAGGGGTGGTTTTAAGGTCCACTTGACAACAGGTACGTCAGGGTCTGTGTAAGGAAACCAGAGGAACCCAGAGAATATCCCTGGCGTTGGACATTACTGGAAACAAATAATGTAGTTGTTTTACAATTACTGTCTAATATTTGCAGCTCTTGACTACTTGTCTCTGAGGATACACACTACACCATATTCAATAAACCAACCTCAACTCTCACATTACTGACAAATTTTTACAGATTTTTCACTAAATTCTTGCCGCATTATTTTAGCATTTGCTTCACACATTATACACACTGCACGAAAGCATGTTTTAAAATCCTCCCAACACTCCAGGTAAACGCGTGTCATCCCAAAAAGGTCAGCTCTACCAAGATGATTTGTGGTGGTGCTGGCATTTGTGTTTCCTGATTGTTTTAAACATTTTACTGTCTCTTAATTATTCCTATCTTCCTCTAACATAAACAATCGTAGCCATTATATCTGGTGAACAATTTAATTTACTAAAGAAATGTCATGATGAACTAACTCTGGTGTTAAATTGATGGCTGTGTAATTTCTGGCAGTTGTTTAAGACATGTGGGTGGTTAATTGAGGATGGAGGTATTTATAGAGAGTACAGCAACTGGTTAAACCATACAGATAATGATGACTTCATTTTAATCACCAGCTTATATATACATGACTTATACATAAGGCTGTACTAGATTCAAGAATGTCAAACACTTTAAATTCATTACAATTACGATTGGTAATTTATATCTGAGTGTTTATTAATGAAGTTAATAAAATATTTATTACATATAATAAAATATAAGTAGTGTTGAGGGTTGAGAATGTCTGATATTTAGTCATAGAAGATTCCTCAACTTGAGAGAGAGAGAGAGGGAGAGAGAGAGAGAGAGAGAGAGAGTTTAACTCCACTTGACACAAACTAGGTAATTTCGGGACTAACACATGGTCCAATTTTATTTCAATAATTCGCTTGCATGTAGGGGTTGTTATCAGTGGGAGGAAACCGGAGGACCCAGAGAAAAACCATCAGGTTGGTTAAGCCACCCAACTCCTTATGACAGACCTTATGATAGAGCATGCACGTGCTAACCATTCGGCCATCCACCACCCCCCTTCCTTGAGGATGTTTATAATACATAACTAAATGTTTACAGCACAGCCATCATTGATGATGCAGAAATTCTAATTCATTTGCCAATAAACTACCCCGAAGCGGTTTATAGCACAGGTGTCAGAGGAGGCAGTCTCCTATTCGAAAGAAAACCAAAAGAAAACACTGAATCCGGGGGAAAAAACCTGATATGGAGAAAAGGGCCCTTTTGCCACCAGTGTTGTGACTTCCGTAGCAATACCCAGCACTATTCCTGGCAGACTTAAATGTGGTTATATAAAAGGAGTTTACCACTCAGATGTCCCAGTTCTTAAATATTTCAAGTGCATTGGCAAACAGACAAGCTACATAAATTTTCTAACATGCAAAAATCTCATGAAATGAATTGAAGAAGCATGCAATGCTATGCAGAATGCGATTACAATATTTTTTGTTGGAATTATGTTCAAAAACAAAATAAAATTTGGAAATAAAACAAATTATCAAGCTTTATTTGTTTTAAGATAGTTCTGCCTAATTCACATGTTTGAGGGGCTGTTATTTCAGTTTAAGATCTTATCAATCGAAAATTATTATAATTTGGTAATCACAACAGTTGGTCAAAGATATAAATTTACACGCCCGGTGAAATAAAATAATATCTTATTTGTTTTCCATCATCACAAAAGATTAAGAGACAGGGAGAGAGAGAGAGAGAGAGGCGGGGTTTAATGGCCACATGACACAAACTAGGTCATTTTGGGACTAACATATGGTTCAGTTTTATTTCATTAATTCACTTGCATGTAGGGGGTCTTTAACAGTACAGTGGAAGGAAACCGATCACCTGGAGAAAACCCACCAGAGAGGACAGGTGATCCTACACATACAAGTGGGGATTTGAAACCACGCCAACTGACTCAATGACCGACCTAATGATGCAAATAGGGAACTAAACGCTATTGAACAGTGCAAATAAGAAATAAGATGCAAAATTTTAAGTGAAGTTCAAAGCGTTGTGTGTGTGTGTGTTTGGGGGGGGGGGGGAGATGGCTGAATGGTTAGCATGTGTGCGCTGTATCATAAATTAGCCTTTTCCCCTAAGAAATAAGACGCAAAATTTCAACAGAAGTTCAAAGTATTGTGGCCTATTCAAAATTTGTTTCTAGTTTCCACTACAAATCCACGTATAATCAGATTTAAACATTTTTCTTTGTTTCTTTTGAAGATTTCTGTCAATCCATGTGCCCCTCAAGTAAGGAAATTCTTCAAATTCATTATGGTTGAAATTATTTCTAAGGCTCTGAAGAAATAGTCAAAATCGTAAATTTTGTCCACCTGTCAGACGACAGAAGCAATGACATGAAACCCCTTTGGCTAATGAGATAGATTGAAATCTCTTCGCACATGAATTTTACAGCTAGCAATGAGGAAATCATACCCATGTAGAAATGAACATCTACTTGTTAATGTAAAACTCTATTAGAGAATCAAGATATTAGCTTGTGATCCATCTCTCAAGTTTATGGTTGACTAACTCATCCATCTGTCGCAATTACCCTATCATGCTGACCTATCTTGTTTTTGACAGAAGTCATTTTACGGTTGGTTAGGTAGAGTATTCAAGTTAAAAATGCTACTTGTATTTATAAATACAAAGCGGGAGAGAGAGAGAGAGAAATGGGGTTGAACGTCCACTTGACACAAACTAAGTCATTTTGGGACTAACACATGGTTCAATTTTATTTCAATAATTTGCTTGCACATAGGGGTCTTTAGCAGTGGGAGGAAACCGGGGACCGTGGAGAAACCCATTAGGTTGGACAGGCAATCCTACTCCTTGTCCCATACAACAGGGAATTCAAAACCTAACCAGTTGACTCAATGACAGACCTTATGATACAATGCACATGCGCTAACCATTCGGCCATCCAACCCCCCCATTAATACAAAGCTATTAAAACTCTGTTCCATTCTTTAAAACATACATTATGCAAGAGCTAAATCTGTCTATTGCAGGTCTTTCTTTAGGCCTGAAATGTTATCTAAATTATTAATTAGACATTAATTAACCTATCTAGACCATAATCAACTCTAGATGGCATCGCTAGCCTGTGATCTTTAGTGGATTATGAGCCGATTTACTGCATAACTTTCCTTCACGATTTAACGATTAAATGGATAATCGAGACTATGCTATTTATCGTACTGACTTTAGTAATGATGATCGAGGCTAGGCGGAAATTTCAATCGCTTAGTTCTCGGTTCACAGTGGATAAATTTGAATGAAATTTTCACCAAATTGCCTTTACATAATCTAGTTTTTAACTATTATAGTGAGAAGTGCCAACCCGTTATCGAATCTCCCATAATGTATCTTTAAAACACAAGAAAATAAAATATTTACCTAAACAATCAGGTGTTCACTGTTATCAGCGAATGGACACTACTGTGATCTCTTTGTTCTTCCGAGGCTGTAAAGAGAAAATTTATGACTTTAGAAAGATGACATAAAAGTTGGAGTAAAATATTTTGAGACTAAGCACATGGTCATTTTTATCTTAATGGCTAATATAATGAACAGCAGCATTTTCACCTAATGTTCATTGAATTCCAACTGCCAAGGGCTCTAATCTTTGGAACCTGAAAATAGATGAAAATGGGTCCAAAAGCACATATTATAAATGTAATTAATGTAATATGAATGTATGTAAAGTGATGTATATTCAATTTTTAAACAAAATATTGTAATTTCTAATCAATTATGTTCAGTGAAATATATGAACAGTCCAAACTGAACAACAGTTGTTTATGCCTGATTAGTCCAATCTACACATTTTTAAAAAAATATTATTTTGTTGTTTTTGCATTAGCCATTGCTAAATACTTCCGCATTGTCTTGTAGGGTATGTTTGTCTTTGTTCATTACAAATGGCGCCCAAAACCATAGAAATACGCAACTTGTGTACTGATTTTAAAATATTCATTATGTCATAAATTTTAGGATCCCATATTCAAAAGCTTTTAATTCCAAATTTTTAAGTTTTGAAATGTTAAACAAAAATCTTTCATGTGATTTATGTGGCTATTTATCAAGACCCTAAGAACATAAAATCACAACGTCTTTATTAGCTCCGTTCGGAGCAGAACAGCAGGACGTTAAACCCAATGTCATTTCACAGAAAATCAAATTGGCATCCCCTAAGCTTGAAAAAAAAATAAACAAAAACTCAACTATTCATAGCCAACATAAAGGACAAAACAAAATATTCCTAGTCAATCTGATAGATAATGACTCCACAGGACAACTTGTTGAAAATACTATAGATACAGCTTACATCTTGTCTATATCATGTAACACCACTTAAACTAACTAGTTGATTCGACAATGACAGATATCAATACATATATATATATACAATAGATAAGCTCGTATTACCTTATTAACTCACTTCAAAAACCCATACAAAACTAATTCTTTCATCCAAAAAAAACTTACATTCAAAATAATGTCAATATTGTTAATCCTTCTCTTCAAAAAATCATACCAATTAATTCCTTCACAAAAAAATACATCTACATACAAAGTATATCAATATCAGTTTTAAAACGTCTCATTCAGAAAATACAAGATCTAAAGATGTTTTTGAAAACTTTTTTGAAAGAATTCATTACTCAAAGAAGTGATCATACTAAACTTAGGCTGTCTGTGTACAGTTAGCTCCGCTTGAGAACAGTCACTAAGCTAGTTGACAGACATTTTAAGACATAAATCAACGATTTTAGTCAAAATCACTAAGTATACTTCGAGAATTTTGTTGAGTATATATTCTGCTTCCATTTAATAGAATTGAAAAAATTTATTTAGTCTTTGTGCGTATGACAGATGTGGAACGAAGTGGAACCACATTACAAAACAGTATACTAATTTTTGGATATGGCGGCCATTTAGATCAGAGATCTATTCTTGAGGAATGAAGTAGAAGGATCTATGTATGCAGAATAAGAAATGATAGCACAAAATCCAGACAAAAAAAACCCAGACTATAAATCACATTAAGTAGACAAAACCAAACTAAAAGGAGGATGTGAAAATGTTAACAAAATATTTGTCATAAATGCGACTGTCTCAAACTTCCCCTATAGATGTCTGATCTTGTGTTTCTGTTATGATGAACATTATGTGTCTTGTCACTTGGTATATATAAAGGGGCTAAACTTTGAATTAAAGATGCATTATGTAAGATTTAGATAATGAGCTGGCTGGACGTTCTTGCTATAAAAGGTTCAAAATAGATAATAAAAAATGAATATATTGAACAAATTACTTTATTCTGAGAGAAGTTAATGGTGTTGGAAGATGTAGCGTAGATTGTTTATTATCATAGTAACGGTACTTGACAATCGAGACTATTTATTATTTTAGCAATGGTACTTGACAATCGAGACTATTTATTATCATAGTAACGGTACTTGACAATCGAGACTATTTATTATTGTAGCAATGGTACTTGACAATCAAGACTATTTATTATCATAGTAACGGTACTTGACAATCGAGACTATTTATTATTGTAGCAATGGTACTTGACAATCGAGACTATTTATTATCATAGTAACGGTACTTGACAATCGAGACTATTTATTATTGTAGCAATGGTACTTGACAATCCAGACTATTTATTATCATAGTAACGGTACTTGACAATCAAGACTATTTATTATTGTAGCAATGGTACTTGACAATCGAGACTATTTATTATCATAGTAACGGTATTTGACAATCGAGACTATTTATTATTGTAGCAATGGCACTTGACAATCGAGACTATTTATTATCATAGTAACGGTACTTGACAATCGAGACTATTTATTATTGTAGCAATGGTACTTGACAATCGAGACTATTTATTATTGTAGCAATGGTACTTGACAATCAAGACTAATGCTTATTAATTTTATCATTAAATTTTTAAATCTTGTTGGTGTTTTAATCCATTTGAATCTCAGTCATCCAATGACCTAGAGAGTTCATTATAGGCTTGTTAGGTTAATAAATGTCTAATTAATAATTCATATTACATTTCAGGCCAAAATAAAGACCGGCTATAGTCAAAGTTAGCTCAAACATAATGCATCTTTAAATCAAAATAAAGTATTGAATTGGGTTGATTTGATATAAGGCATCTGTGACAGACCTGATCAGGCAAAAATTCTGGCTTTTTGTCCTGCTTTAACTAACAGTGATTTTAACAATCTTTATAATAAATGTCTAGTACCAAGTTCATTAGTGCCTGACATTGTCGGGTAACTACCACACCTAGATATGATTAAATTTCTATTTCAAAAGAAAAGCGAAAGTCAGCTTGTTTACTTATTTTAGTTTAAATTTTGACAGTGGAACACAAGTTTGATTAAATTTATTGACATAAACTTTTTTAACAAAGACAGATTATCATTCCACAAAAAAAAAATCAATACATAAAATCCAAGGAAATGAACAATTTATTTTTGACCCTGATTAAATATATGCTTAAGACATTTTAAAAGGATAAACTTTGCATATAGCCCATTAAATCTAGACTCGTCTTATGTCATGTGCCTGTCTCAAGTATATCTAAGTATAAAACTTAGCATTTTACCCATTAAATCTAAACAAAGAAATCATCGATTTAATCTAGTCTAGCGGAAAATGAAAGTAGATAAATAAAGTAAAAGTAGATAAATGGAGTAACTGTTGCCACTTGAAGTAAAAGGATAAATGGAAGAACTAACACAATGATTGGTTTATATGCTTGGTTTATCTCTTCACTCAAATCCTATTAGTGAGAGTTAAGTCACACAAGGAGAATCCCTGTCGCCAACCCTCTTTCTATCATCAACAAATTTAAACCTCTACAGAAAGGGTATTGTGTTAATTAAGGATATAATTACCATGCAACTGCACGGACAAACAAGGTGTTGAACAGGAAGACATGTCGTGATTTATACAACCAATTATCGAGAATGCATGAAACAACAATAACATTAATGCAACCTTGTGTTTCTAATCAATTCCATGATAATAATCAACTCACAGCATGACCTGGGAGACCCGGGAGGAGGATAGGTTTGACACAGACACATCAACAGACAAACCACAAACAATAAGCAGCTCAGTTCAAAAATATCTTGGATAAAAACCTTGAAACAATTGACTGCTGTATAAAAATAATCATAATTTTATGGTATCCTAAGCGGCAATGAAATCAAGAATGATTGAAATAAACTGTAACAGAGTTTTTTTTCAGTGAGAATAAAGAAATGTTGAAACAGAGAGAGAGAGAGAGAGAGAAAGAGAGAGAGAGAAAGAGAGAGAGAGAGATATATGGTTTAACGGCCACTCCGCACAAACTAGGTCGGTACAAACTAGGTCGGTTCGGGAATAAAATATGGTTCAATATTTCGGTTATGTGATCTTTAATTAGATGTGGGAGGAAAAAGGAGGATCCTGAGAAAACCCACTAGGTTGGACAGGTGACCCTACTCCTTGTTTGACAACCAGGGAATTGAAACCACACCACTTGAATCAATGACAGACCTTCTGATACAACACATACGCGTTAACCATTCGGCCACCTAACCCCTGATGTTGAAAAAAAGACTGCTAAATCTACATGTATGAAAACAGGCAATGCATTATACACTGTTGCGTTAAAAAACATAAAGGGGATGGTCAACAATGACACCAGACTTTTTTTTAAAAAAAAAATGAAATGGGGTTTAACATCCTACTTTCTGCACGGACACCCAACCCGGAAGTTGAGATTGTTGCCCAACCCTGAAATTCAGATTGTTATATATTTTCTAACTGTGAATTTCAAATTTTCTTTTTAACATACAATTTTAAATTGGTTATTAATTTGACAAAATATAAGATTCTCATGAAAATTTAATTTCAACTTGAATATTGTCATAAAATAATTAACAGTAGACTACACTCTTTTTAAAATTTGGTCGTAATAAATTGAACTCTAACACAACCCCGTGGTATTCAGTGAGCTTCATCAAATTGGGGGATCACGGTGGCTAAGTGGGTAAGACACTGGCTCGCTAGCCTGGAGGTCGAGTGTTCCATCCCTACATTAGCCGAGAAATTTCATTCCAATGCAGTCATGCAGGACGGAGGGCCTGACAAGACCAGCTGTCTAGTCATTAGGTTGGGATGAAAAACCGAGGTCCTGTGTACACATTGGTGTGCACGTAAAAGATCCCTTGACAGTTGGAATTCGATATAAGGCCATAGTGCTGCTGTCCGGGCAAAATTTCCCTCATAGCACACTGTATGGCGTATGCCCGTCTTCATTAGCCCAGTTCGGAGCAGAACAGTAGGACATTAAACCCCATTTTATTTCATTTCGTCAACAACAAGAGAAGTGAAAGGAAAAAGAAGAGAACGCTTGCACCACATGGTAAAAATGATTTCAAACTTCCA